ATGGAAAGCACAATAAAAGAGAAAAGTTAGAAAGTTTCTGTGGATAAGGGTTACAAAAACTTCAATGCTATGTAATATACCTGACCCTTTTTCTGACAACCTTGGCAATGTAATGCCCCTCATTGCTAATATCTGTTAATATCATAATCGACATCAATGTCTAGAGATAGAACGTAAAACTCAAGAAAATTAAAGCAATACCTAGTCGTTTATTCACATCGAAAGCCATTAGTACTCGATTAACGCGTCGTCTAAACATTTCCTTAGCTTCAATTGGAGAGCTGACATCCTCTTCATTGATGCTCTGAAGCTTGTTTCTCAACTTCTTGCTAAGAGCATTGCTCATGGGCACTTCCTCGAATGCTTCCTCTTCTGCCATCAGTACTGTTGAACAAACAAAAAGAAATGTTGGGTCAGGTATAAACCTCAATGAAATAACCAATCCATTAGAAATAGGAAATCAACCCTAGAACTAATTTAATCATTCATTAGGCAGTAAGTAAAAGCATTCACAGTAAAACTCCCACTCAGAACATACATTAGACTCATGGATGCTTTTAACATACACAAACATCAATCTAATGCGGAAGTAGCTGACCAATAATATCAGAACTAAGAAATATCCATCTTGAAACGCACATAAAATTCTAAGTTGGAAGAGATTTTAGAAAAAACATCTAAAAGCATATGCAATTCAAATCTCACTGAATAGCATAACCACAGTGGAAACGTCCAAGCAGTAAAATCAGATTTCAACAGATCCAAGGGAATGATAATGCTATGTTTGATGAATTCAAGAGGTCTATGATGAATGAATTTGAAATGTCTGACCTTGGAAAGATGCATTACTTTCTGGGTTTAGAGGTGGTCCAATCTGCAGACGGGAATTTTGTTTCGCAGAAAAAATATGTAAGGGAAGTTCTCGAAAAGTTTAAATGAAGGAATGTAATTCTTGTGACACTCCAGTTGAATTTGGTTTGAAATTGCACAAAGATGAAGGAGAAAAAAAGGTTGACAGCACACTCTACAAGCAAATTGTTGGTAGTTTAATGTATCTAACATCAACGAGACCGGATATTATGTATGCGGTTAGTTTTATAAGCAGGTATATGGAGAATCCAACAGATATGCGCCTGCAAGTTACCAAGAAAATCCTTCGTTACTTGCAAGGAACTAAGGATTTTGGGATGTTCTACAAGAAGGGTGTCAAGTCTGGCTTTGTTGGATTTACTGACAATGATTTTGCAGGGGATATTGATCACAGAAGGAGCACCTCAGGCTATGTTTGTATGCTCGGAAGTGGGGCTGTTTCATGGTCCTCTAAGAAGCAGCCCATTGTCACTTTGTCAAGCACTGAAGCTGAATTTGTAGCTGCTACAAGTTGTGCGTGTCAAGCAGTTTGGCTAAGGAGAATTCTTGAAGGGCTGTAGTTTGAACAAGAGGGAGCTTCTACTATATTTTGTGATAACAGCATTGCTATCAAGTTGTCAAAGAATCTAGTACTACATGGAAGAAGTAAACATATAGATGTCAGATTTCATTTTCTCAGGGACTACACAAGAGATGGAGTAATCCAGCTTCTACACTGCAAGAGTGAAGACCAAGTTGCTGATGTAATGACAAAACCTTTGAAGATTTCAGTTTTTCAGAGGTTAAGGAAACAGTTGGGTGTCTGTGAGCTCATTTAAACTGGAACATACTTGATGTTTCAGTTTAAGGGAAGGAATGTTGAATAAGTCAGTTGACAAAGTCATTACTAAATACTAGGTTTACCATTTCAGTTATTGGCCTATTTTTATGTCATTAGTTACACTCTTGTGGCTCTCCTTATTTTTAGGAAATGCAGTAGTGTCTATCTTGTTGCTTTGTATAGCCTATAAATTGGCGTAGCTATAGACTAATAAAATCATCAAGTCCTCTTCCCATTTCTGTTGTGTGTCTGGAACTATATTAATATTTATAGTTTTAACATTTCTTCTAAACAAGGTTGCCTACAACCTGTTTGATAAAATTCCCCAAAGATAATTTGTCTTTTAGGGTCAGGTATAAACCTCAATGAAATAACCAATCCATTAGAAATAAGAAATCAACCCTAGAACTAATTTAATCATTCATTAGGCAGTAAGTAAAAGCATTCACAGTAAAACTCCCACTCAGAACATACATTAGACTTATGGATACTTTTAACATACACAAACATCAATCTAATGCGGATGTAGCTGACCATTTATATCAGAACTAAGAAATATTCATCTTGAAACGCACATAGAAATTCTAAGTTGGATCGGAAGAGATTTTAGACAAAACATCTAAAAGCATATGTAATTCAAATCTCACTGAAAAGCATAACCACAGTGGAAACGTCCAAGCAGTAAAATCAGATTTCAACAGATCCAAGGAAACAAACATTTGCATCTTAAATTTAGCTTGATTGTAGAGTTTAAACGTTTACCCTTGCATATAGCTGATTGAACTAAGCTACTCTATCTTGGTTCTGAGCTTCTGCTTGCGACTATTTCCAGATGGGAGAGTACATTCCGGCTGTTGAATCGCCTTGCCGCCGCAAATTTTACCTTACCGCCGGTTGTACCGTATTTCCGGTACAACCGGTAATTAGATCGAAGGAAGGAACACAGAAACTGAGACCGGCAATCGATTTGAGAGACAGCAGCGGGAGACAGGGAGCATGGCGATTGAAGAGGGAGAAGAGGAGGCTTGGCTTTGTGATACTTTATTATTTGGAAATGAACATCACTATATTATTTGTAAATTAAGGAGTAATAAGTAGTATCCGTATCATAATTATATAAAATAGATATGTGAAAATGAGACTAAGTTATTTCAAAATGAGTAATATCTTATTTCAGAATGAGTATTACATATTTTAAATTTAACACTTATGTTTATGCGAAAATGAGTAGTACTTTCATTCAGAATGAGTACTCATGGTTGTACATACCTCTAGGTACAACCGGTTGTACTATATATATGCTCCTAACTCTAGAAATGGTACTCGGTAATTGATGATATTCATGATAATGCTCAGTCCAGTCCCCGACTAACGACAGTTAAAATGACATTAAAACAATTTTAAACCTAATACGGAGTACTATTTTTCCAAAATAGCACTTTGTAGTTGGGTATTTTTTCAAATAGCACTTTGGTGTACCCCATTTGTCCCCCACCCCATTTGGTGTAACCCTAGCATTTTTCTTTTTTAAATTGGTCCATTTTTGAAATACGAATACATCAATTGTGAAAAAATATTTTAAATTTTATAGGATGATAATATAATGCTAAAAACTATAAATATAATTTTATAAATTCGAAAATAACGTTTTAGATTATTTTCAATTATTTAAAAGAATTTCATGTAAACAAAATATTTAATAAACGTTGAATAAAACACCATATATAGGGGTAAAATAAAAAGAAAAGAGCTCCTATTTTGGCACCTTTTTTATGTTTTAATCCCATTCAGAGTATTTCTTTAAAAATTATTAAACATTTTCTTTAGATTCTATTCTTCTAAATAATTATAAAAATTGAAAATATTAGTTTTTTAATTAATATAATTATATTAAAAGTTTTAAGCATTATATTATCATCTTATTTGATTTAAAATATTTTTCTATAATTAATGTATTTCATTTCGAATAAATACATTTTTATCACCAACGAAAGAAATAAGGATGACTATGGACCCTTGGATGCAGAATTCAGACTATATTATCCTACGCATTTTTAAGGGGTAAATGTGTGTTTTCAATTAAAATTCGTTTCTCTCTCTCTCAATCAGTGCTTCCTTCCTCGCGAGAATACCGGACGAATTTTTATTTTCTCAAAGACTATTGTGGACGAATTTTTATTTTCCATGTAGTTTTGAATACCATAATCTTTCAATTTTGTATTCCTAATTAATCCTTGAGTGCGACCAGAGTGATAAATGGATTCATATTTGTGATCGATTAAGTCTGCAATAGATTCGAATATGGATTCATGTATGCAATAGATCCAGATCGTAGATGGGTACAGTCGCACATGACTCAGGTTAACATTTTTACATTCTTTTTGCTATATACGATGTCCTTTATATTTAACAACACATATTTTTAAAATTACTAGTATCACACCAATGCACGGGTCATTTTTATGTTATTAAATTCAAATCAATTTTCAATGATAAAAAATGAGATGTACAATTTGGTACAAATTTTAAGGTACAAAACATCACTGCTTTACAAAACATCACTGCTTTACAAATTTCGAAAGACTTCTTTATAGACTACATTATTTGTACAATTTGTGAGAATATTGTCTTCATTGCATATCAAAATTTTCAACCCACTACGATTAGTTACTCCTGAAACTGTAACATAAAGTTGTACATAACTAAAACATGTTAGATTATTGTTACGGAAACCTGTGATAAACTCTAATTGCTCGTAGCTTCATCATTAACATTGATGACCTCTCATCAACATTTTTCAAAGCAGTTAAGATCTCCATTTTTCATAAGAATGACAATTTTGAAATGTAGGGGAAAAATCACGATGAATGTAATAGCTATGAAAGCTTTGTAAATGAATGTATTCATAATATGATTTTTGCATACAGGGTTAAAAAAATTATAGTAATATTTAAATGCTATAACAAATGCTATAATACATGAAAAATGCTATAACAAATTTAAATTACTGTTACAATATTTAAATAATTTAATTTATAATATTTAAAATGACTATAATTAAAATTATTATAATTAAAATGACACGGCAATTAATACGGAATATACAATTATGTAGTCACATAGTTATATTATTAATACCTTGGTTAATTATTACCTTTTTATTAAAATTACTATAATTAAAATATAGTAAAATATAGCCACTATAACCAAAATATATCCATTAGAAAATTACTATTATAAAATTACTTTAATTAAAATTACTATAATTAATTTGATACGGTAATTAATATACAATTATATAGCCACACGTAATATTAGATTTCATTAGTAGTGTAATATACAATTTTAATTAAAATTATTATAATTAAAATTACTATAATTAATTTGACATGGTAATTAACATTTAATTACTATAATTAATTTGACACGGTAGATAATTAGATTTCATTAATAGCGTGTTTAATATCATTTTATTAATTAGCATATGTAATAGCTATACTCAAAACGTAATATTGACTTCACCTCTTTTCAAATAAAATATGGATTGATTGGCATGTATTAAAGTTTATAAATAATTTTTGCCTATTTTATAAATATTTTTTTATAACTTACCTTTTTATAACTTCGTGCACGGGGTTCAAATGGATACTATAATTTCAAAATTTACATAGGTAATAATTGCACAGAGTAATAATTATTACATTTTTTGGTTATTACCTTTCTTGCTATTAAACATAAATATAAATATATATATTTAAGTGGTTTTACTGTATTAATTTTTTTTAGAAACTATGTGTTTAATTAGTCTTACCATAATTATATTATACTATAATCATACACACGTTTTTTATATAACATAGTCATACGGTAATCATATAGTTATATAATAATGGTAAGAATAATTATTTTTTTGCCTATTTTATAAATATTTTTTATAACTTACCTTTTTATAACTTTGTGCACGTGTTAAAAATGGACACTATAATTTCGGACACTTACCATTTATATAGGTAATAATTGCACGGAGTAATAATTAATACATTTTTTGGGTATTATCTTTCTTGCCATTAAACACTTTATAAAACGTAAATTTTGTATTACTATAATTTCGAACAGTTATCATTTTAACTTCACATTACCATATGTAATGGCCATACTCTTTGGGCGGAAAAACGCAATATTGGGAGTATAATTGTATAACTTACCTTTTTTAATTATTTCAAATTTTCAAAAACTTATGCTTTGAAATTGTATAACTTACCTTTATTAAAAACTTAAGCTTTGAAATTGTATAACTTACCTTTTTTAATATGTTAATTATTATAAAAAATAATAGCTATATTAACTTCACGCTTACACAAAAAAGATTAAAAATGACATTTACTTACCTTTTTTAATTATTTCCAATATTCAATACGTAAATTATTATAAATTTTTAATACGTTAATTATTATAAATATAATAATTATAACTTTACAATTTTGGTCACTTACCATTTTAACTTCACAATTATTAACATACCTTCTGGCCATTTTAACTTACTTTTCGCTAATTATTATAAATATAATAATTATAATAATTGTTGCTATAATTTTGGCCACTGACCATTTTAACTTCACAATTGTCTTTTGTAATTGCCATACTCTTTGGGCATGAAAACTATATGTTGACTCCATGTCTTTTTAAATAAAGTGTGGATGAAATCAATTTAATTATGTCTGCTGTTAATGCTCTCTCCTCTATCCTTGAATAACTAGCTATTCAGAGAATCACTACACGACATTGATCGATTTCACTCTTCCATCCATCTTGATTCATTTCCTTATTCTTGTTATGAGATTTTTCATCATCTAATGCACTTTATCATCATTTTTGGTGTGAAGAATTATATTCATAAGATTTCATTTTCAAATATATTTTTCCCTGTTACAATATGCTTAACTAAATGCACTACATTGCATTTCGTGTTCTTTAGTTTGCATATCCAAATTTTTTTGCACACTTTGTGTTTATGGATTGCCTCTCTTCACAATTCACTTTCTATTTTTGCATTATAATTTATGGGCAGCCTGTGAATGGGTGTCTCAATAATTTTCATTTTATGGCAGTTCGTGAGATGGATGACAATTTTTTTGGTATAGGATTTCATTTTTTTGAATGCCAAGAAATTTTTTTTTTTCAGTTTTACCTGAGTTTGTGAATTGATGTGTCAATATATTCAATAAATAAGGATAACGAAGCCAAGATCTATGCTTGTGAAAGTGATGGTGAGGAAGATGCTACTGTAAGTATATAGGAAGATGATGCAGTCATACAAGATGATGATGCATACAAACATGAAGAAGACACTTTGTTGACATGAAGGACATTGTAACAGTGATTTATAAGGAAGTGAATTTGATGTAATGTTTAGCTAAATGATCAAACTAAACTCTTAACTGTATTGTGTTTGGTCATTGTTTAATTCTTTTATACTCCTTCCGTCCCTATTTAATCCAAACACTTTGACTTGCATACACTTTTAGAAAGTAGGTAAAAAGTAATTTTTTTTCAAGAATACCACCAACCCACCCGTCCAAAAGAAAAAGCAAAGGCAAAAAATAAGGGAGAGAGATTAAAGTAAACATCACATCTGTAACACCCGCCTTCCGTGGACCCGGTTCACCCGCGACCCAATGGACCGATAGGGTTACATGGGCGGTCCGAGAACCGTCCGTAGATAAAAACGCATTAATGTCTATTTATTATGTAACGGTTGGGTTTAATTGATGAAATAAATGGTAGGAAGTTATTTGCAAAACGTGTGTGACATAAATGCAGAGTAAAAGCGGAAGTAAATATATAAGTCCAAAATAAGTAAAACGACATTTGATGGGTTCATGCCCAAATCATTAATTAATTCAAATGATTATAATTATTAAACTCGTCCATGCGCCGCCCATCTTCCCATCATCACTGTCCTCAAGGTTAGCACCTGTACCGTCATGTCTACCTGCGTGTAGCAAAACAACTACACGCTCAGCAAAAGCTGAGGAGTGAATCTAACAAAAGAACATGAAGTGATAACTCATATGATTATACACATATTAATACTTGTACTTTAACGTACGGAAAACCACATCTTTACTAACTGTTCAATTTGCACTTGATGGGGTACTATTACACATAACAAAATGAATAACAACCACATTGAATATGGATATGATTGGTAACATACATGATAATGACAACCACATTGAATGTTGACGTGACATGAAGACGATATGACTTGATGCATGACTTAAACTATCAAGGACACCCCTGGCTTAGTCTCACTTGACAAGATCACCCCTGCACTCCGGTAATGAGCCGGGCTCGACAAAAATGTCGTAAGTGAACTAGCAAAACTGGGTAGTAGCCGTAACCTGACTACTATGTACGTACACAAAGCCCACCTGATGAAAACCCGTTGGATCTCAAAGGTTCCTAGACGGGCCCACATTAGTAGGCGCACGGAAGCCTGACCTCCCTACAGCGGTATGCACATGATGATAGACCTAAGACATGCGTTTAGAATGAACATAATGAATGCTTGATATATTTACCTTTGGTCAATACCAAGAATATATCAATTAAATAACTTAAATAATGAAGATTAACATTTCATGTGACAAACACTTAGATTCTGGGTCAACGTGGTCAACGGGACTCGTTCTACAAACTGCCCAGAAATCTGCCCAGGAAACGGTCGACCGTACCCTACCGGCGGTCAACCGTGGGCTACGTTCTAGAGGTCTGGAACACCGAAGGTCCACCCCGGTCTTCCGTCACGGCCGGCGGTCGACCGTTACGGTGGTGGCCGACGGACGGTCAAGGGAAACGGTCCACCGTTCTTAGCGGCGGTCGACCGTCCCGTAGACAGTCCACTGTCCCTTGCTTCGTTTTGATCCATTTTGTGAACTTAACGCCTTGATTCTTTTAGAACAATAATGTAAACATTTATGAATATATTCCTAGTGATTCATAGGCCAATATATACGATTTTTACGTAGTGAATGTTTTGATGGCTAACTTACGAACATGAATAGATTTTACGTAGGTTGCGTACAATATTCCTATGAATATAACGACATAGATTATAACTAAATGTTCTAGAATTAGAGGGGACAACTACTAACCTCTAAATGAAGGGGTTGACGAAACGATGAGACGTGATGAGCAAATGGTTGACAACGTTGAACGACCACGACGATCAGACGAACTTCTTGCGTGAACTTCCTTCCTCTACCTCCCCGTCCACCCACTGGAATATCTCCTCGCCTGGCTGCCTTGGTTGGCCGAACAAGAGAAGGGAAAGGGGAGGGTTGAGTGTGTGAGGGGAGTTACAAATGTGGTAGAGAAGGTGAGAGGAAGGGACAAATATAATGGTGGTGGAGGAATGAATGATAATGGAGAATTAAGATGAAGAAAATGAATGGGTGGTGGTGGCGTGTGATTCATAATTTGGGGAGTTACCTCCCTAAATTCCACTCTGTTGTGTAGAATCTGATCTGAACGGTACACGGTTTTTCTCCCAAACGGGTCCGAATTGAGATCTATTTGTGTTTCCGGTATCAGACAGTCAAAACGAATTTAATGACATGTTCAAATGATTTTTCTAAGAACTTTATTTTCAAACTTCCGGGTCCATCCCAATCATTAATTAATTAATTTAATTAATGTTGAGAGGTCTGTTATTAAAACATCTTTTTATATTAACATACATTAGCTTTGAAAAGCCATTTAAAGAGATTGAAATCTCAATATTTATTAATTTAAAATAATGATTCTCAATAAATAAATAATATTTATTTATTTAAAACTAGGCCGGTTTGAAGGCGTTATAACATCATTCTCATAATTTTACAACTAGGCCATCAATTGTACACATCATCACCATACACACCACACACTTCACATGGAGTTGAAAATTAAAGAGGGAAAACAACCAAAAGTAAACATGGTTTCCCCCCCCCCCCCCCAATTTTTTCCTAATTACACCCTCTTCAATGAGCATATAAATGGGTTGTGTGCATTGAAGAAGGCTATTTAATGCTAATAAAAAATGGATTACATATGTTCAAACCCATCTTCATCCACACTTCATGTGTTTGACCTCAATCTCCCCCCTGCGACTGCCCATGACTTCAATCTCAACGAGGATCCGTCGCCAGCTTCACGTGGAGACGATTCGTCTTTTGACGATGAGCCTTAGCATCCGAGCTACTGCTTCATTCAGCGAGACGGGACGTTTAGCCGTGGGTGTTTCCCCACCGACACCTCTGACAAAACACATCAACTTCCCTTGGAGTGCATACCGGGCAGCCTGATGAACCTGTGCACGAAAATGAAAAGGAACAGCAGGAGAACAACACAAGGCAGAGACTATCTGCTACTGAAAAGAAACGCCTAGTTGAAATGCTAATGGGAAAAGCCAAAGAAGGCTGTAAACTTCAGAGGGGGTCATTAAAGAAGTAGCTGTGAAGTTCAACACTAACAGATGGACCGTTCAAATCTTATGGACCAAAGCAAAACAACAATTTAATGCAGGCTTACCCATTAATGTGGAACAAGAAATGAGGGGTCGTGTGGGCAGAAAAAGAGTCACATGTGATTTAGGAAAACTGGTTAAAGTTCCTTTTCATAAAAGGAAAAACATTCGTGTAGTTGTCTACCAACTAAACGTATCAAAAAGCATGGTGCATATGCTACTAAAAGAAAAGCAGATTCGACGTCACACGAATGCAATCTAGCCATTGCTGACAGGGAGTGGTAAGCTTAAAAGACTACGTTTCTGTTTAGATCATATCATGCCCCAAACAAAACCTATGAACCCTACAATTCATCACTTTTATGACTATGTTCACATAGATGAGAAGTGGTTCCAACAATCACAAGAGGTCAACAAGTACCTTTTACACACTTCCCAATGAAGAAGATCCATACAGATCCGCTCAATCTAAAAAATTTATACCCAAAATAATGTTCCTAACAGTTGTGGATAGACCAATGTTGGAGGGTACTGATGAAAGCATTTGGGATGGGAAAGTGGGTATTTTTCCCTTCAAATTTTAGGAAGGAGCAAAGAGGAGTAGTAAAAACAGGCTTGCAGGCACTTTAGTAACAAAGCCAATTCCAATTGTGAACAGAGATGTGATGAAGAGAATGATGCTAAATGAGGTCATACCTGCCGTTAATGCCAAATGGCCCGAGGCAAGGGCTAAGCGTGTCATCATACAACAAGACAATGCCAAACCTCATGTACACCCTGATGATCCAGACATAGTCCAGAGTTGTCAAGAAGATGGCTGGAACATTTTTATAAAGTGCAAACCTCCTAACAGCCCTGATCTCAATATACTAGACTTAGGATTCTTTGCATCAATAGACAGTCTCAAAAACCAAAAAGCCCGAAGGAACATAAATGAACTGATCCATTCAGTGCAGACTACATTTGAGGAGTTAACCCCTCAAAATTGAATAAGGTCTTCTTGACCTTACAATGTGTGATGGAACAGATTCTAGTGCAAAAAGTAGGAAACAACTACAAGATACCATACATTAGGAAAGACAGACTACAGAGGATGGATCAATTGCCTGAGAATATTCAAGTGAGTATGGAAGTGGTGAAGGCAGCCAGCAACTTCTTAGTAGAACAGGGGCCTGGTAACAACTGACTTAGTATTACCAACTAAGTTCTTTGTTTTAGTTTTTGCTTTTTGGAGGGACTTGTCCTAATGAACTGTTGAGTTCTTGACTTGTATTTGGTACATAAGGTACTTTTTTTGCTTTTTGGAGGGACTTGTACTGATATTTGGGGGGGTTAGTTCAAGCTTACTTTTATTTAGTACAGAGGGTACTTTTTTTGCTTTTTGTAGGGGACAAGTTTTGTAAGTGCCTCTAAATTATGTATTCTATAAATGTATAAGTATATTTTACATAAGGAATGAATGGCAACAGTTTGGTCTCAGATTTTAAAGTCATCACAGACCACAGACCACCACAGAACAGACACACTAGGCAACAAACATTAGGGATCACATACTGGGCAGTATATTTGACATAAGGAATAAATGGCAACAGTTTGGTCTCAAATTTTAAAGTCATCACAGAGACAACCACAGACCAGGCACACTAGGCAACAAACATTAGGGATCACATACTGGGCAGCATTTCACATAAGGAATGAATGGAAACAATTTGGTCTCAAATTTTAAAGTCATGATCACAGACCACAGACCACCACAGACCAGGCACACTAGGCAACAAACATTAGAGATGGCATATTGAGCATCATTTCACATAAGGAATGAATGGCAACACATAGGTCACAGATTTTAAAGTCATCACAGACCACATAGTAGTCACACTAGGTAACATTTCACATAAGGAATGAATGGCAAGACATAGGTGTCATATATTCAACTCTATATTCAACTCATCACAAACTCCAAAATCTAGGAATTATACACCTCGGGCCACACCAGTAGACAACCAAATACATAAATTGATTAATCTCCCCCTAAAAAATGTTGAAATTTAATCTCCCCCTCCATCATTAGTTAAGAGAGTGAATTACCATAACATGCAGAGACAATCCATTCAAAAACGAAGTAATTGAAGAGAGGTCATACCACAGGAAGGCAGATCGAAGGGTATTGGTGGAGGATTCACCATCAAAGCATAATCTGTGCAGACCAATGATCTATGATCATAGTCAGATGTCACTTCTTCGGATTCCCCTTCTTCGCTCTCAAATTTCAGATCTGATTCAGCAAACATCGCCACATCCCTGTACTTCTTACGATACTTCCATGTTGGGTCTGTATCAGAAGTAGAGGTTGAAGGAGTAGGATAACGACGCTTCAATCCGCGTCCAGATCCACCAGTTTGGGGGAATCTACCTCGCGAGGGTGATTCCTCTATCAACAGATTAAAATTGGGATATGAGGGATCTGGATTACCCATAGATTAGGGAGTGGAGAAGACGAAAGATTGTGGCGGACTGGCGGAGAGGAATTTGAGAATGTGGCGGAGAAGAAGAGCTTATGGAGAAGACAAAAAGTGAAGATGAGAGATCAGATGGTGGACTAGTGGAGAAGACGAAGAGTGTGGTGAGAATGTCATCCGGATAAGGATTCTAAACGTAAGGAATTTAAAAACCAGGGGTATAATAGTCTTAACATAAAAATTCACTTTCCATTATTAGAAATGTGGTGAATTTTTTGGGACGGATGAAAAAGGAAAGTGTGACAAATATTTAGGGACGGAAGGAGTAAGTTCGTTCGGGGTAATAGATATCGATGGGCTAACTCTTTGTTTTATTTACGCAATAAAAGCATAACTTTTTTGAATGCATTAATATAGTAAACCATTATTAATAGAGTAGTACAGAGTATTTCGTTAAGAAAATAACTCCACAATTGTTGTGATGGTTTTCATTTGTTTTTGAGGATATTGTGAGCTAGAAGGGATATGTTTTTTGTTTATAGGTTGGAATTTGTTTTTTATGTGCTTAAAACCTTAAGTTTTATCTCGAATATGGATTATTTTTAAAATTAACTTGTTATCCCATGGGATTATGGGAATATCTATTTTGATGGGTTAAAATGCTAGTTGTTCGATTATGAGGATTAAGAATGCATCATGACACTTCTTAAAGTGCAATATAAAAAACACGTTGAAGTTGTCTAAGCTTGTGTAAGTGGGACATAAAGAAGTCAATCTCATTATTAGTAGTAAATAAATAAAACTCAAATATGCATTATTTCAACACCTCAAATGCATTATGTGATTTTCACGATTAGGCACTTCAATACACAAAAATATATTTACAGTTATACTACAAAAAAGAGATGTCCATTGAACAAAGGTTGGAAAAATAGACACATGTAACTACAATCACCTTTACGCCATGGTCATAGACATATTCAACAATGATTTTAAAAAAAAAATTCTGCATGGACCTCTGCTCTAAACACAAGTAAAAAGTTCATATTTTCTATGTGCTGATGCATTTGTGCATTTGTGCATGTAGTTAAATAATGCATGATACATGGCTAAGTGACCTAAAGCAACCTTTAAGTGATACTCCCTCCCTTCTAAATTAAATTGTTTGATTACAACACAGTCAAACTTTATTCACTTTCTTTCTTTATTTACAGTAGTCATTTGGTAAAATAAAATAGTCATGTCACCACAAATTTTGTAGATCTTTTGTTGTAATATTTTAATATGTAATTTTTATTTTTTAATTCTACACTATTTCGTATAAGATGATTTTAAAATATTTTTAATTAAACATTCTAAACTGAAATATGCAATATAAATAGCAGGGAATAGTAATACACTAATAACAAAAAACTGCTCTTGGGTACCCCCTATTTTGAGAAAATAACTACCGGGCACCTCACATTTTTAAAACTAAGAGCATTCACAATGGCAAGACAATGTCTTGCCTTGCCATGCCATGTCAGCAAATTCGACTCAAAGCATGACATTCCATGACCATTCCACCCAATTTTTCATTTCATTTGCAAGGCATGACTCTTTCATTTTTTTATTTTTTTCAATATTTTTAATATTTGTAATTTTTGAAAAAAATATTTTTTAAAAAAGAAGTAAACATATTTTAATAATAAGATACTCCTTCCGTTCTCAAAAACACTTCCTCTTTCATTTTTTCCACTTCCAACAAAACACTTCCCCTTTCTATTAAAAAACCACTTTTACCCTCACTTTTCCATACCCTACCTATCACATCATACTTTTTCTCTAATAATCTATCCATCACATCTTACTTTTATCCATCACATCAGGGACAAAATTGGAAATCAACTATAATTTAACACTTGCTTATTTTTGCCCCCAAATCAAATGGGAAGGGTTTTTCCAAACGGAGGGAGTAGATTTTTAAAATAATTTTTTATAATTAAAAATCATTAAAAGTGCAAAAATACACAAAAACCACGACTTGCCACTATATGTTACGACACTCCACTCATTTGCCATACGGTGACTGTATTACTTTTTATTGGTTGAAATCATCCATGTCACCGTGTGGCATTTCATTTTTGCTTTTCCATTGTCAATACTCTAACTACGGGTACCCCAAAATATATAGAAACTTATTGATGAGGGCTACTCTGTTTATTTATCCGTCAAAGGACGTTACGGTATTAATATTGAGAAAATAGGGTTTGAAAATCCGAAAATGACCTTGTTTCTTCTACTTAAATTAGAGGATAAGATTTTTGGAGAAAAAAAGAGCTTGAAAATCCGGCAATTGAAGTGTACGAATTGAAGAGCTAGGGTTTGCGTTGAAGAGGTACGAATTGAAGAGGTAGGGTTTGCGTTGAATAAACGAAATTTTGGTCAAGATCCATCTCTACATTTAGTTCATATTTGCTTTGATAAAAAGGTAGGGTTTGCTTTTGTGCGTGTGACTCAAATTGATGGAAAAGAGATTGAGTTTTACTGTTTTGGTTATGCAGGTTGCAAGACGAATCTGGTCTTCATCGTGAATGGCTCAAAACAGGTAAGTTTTTGAAAATTTTGGTATTAAGCAGCAATTGATGAACATATATTTACATTTTTTTATTTTTTTAATAGTTGTGGTAGTCACTCTTTCACCTCCTATAGTTGTGGTAGTGACATCATGGACTGATAAGAATTCCGGAAGAAGATTATGGACGTGTGGTGGAAAAGTAGGTTCACTTTCTTCCTTTCATTGACATTAAAGTGTTGATTCCTCTGATTTAAGTTGCTTACGTTAGTCATTGTTGAATATGGTAATCATAAATGCTTGGACTGATAATGGCTCGACCCGCCAATTTGTAATCACGCCAAGAAGATAATTTCTGGGCTTCTAAAGAATAGGAATGCAAATCAAGAGGAGATAAAGCTCTAAAAAAGGAAGACAATTGTTGCACCATTTATCTCTGGTTTTGTTGTAGCGCCCTTGTCATCGTTTATGTGCTTAATGTTTTGTTTATGTAAGGTGATGAAAAATGTGAAAGTAATAGTTTGATGTTAAAGTTTGTATGATGTACTTTGAATGTTGTTGTACTCTGAACTTTGAGTTGGTGACTGATCCTAATGAAGTTGCTTTGGCATTTGTAAATTACTATCAAAACCTTATTGGTCCAGGAACTTAAGGAAAATGTCCAGTTTGGGGTCCTTCTGGATATTGATCAATAAGTCAAGCTGATTGAGCCTTTTAACTGTAAGCATATTAAAAAGGTGATTCTTGACATTTCAAATACTCTGGGAGGAAAACATAAAAACTACAGGTTACAATAAAATAGAATATGGCTACCAACCCAAAAAAATTTAAAAAACAGCAAAATGAGAAACAACAAAATGAAAAACCGCATCAAGGAACCAAAAAAATAGCATACTACATAAAAACAACAGCATAGAAGAAAAAAACAGCAGCAAAGAACAAAAAACAGCACAATGGTCATTCATTGAGGTTTAAAAACAGCAGCAAGTGTCTAAGCTCCTCAAACATATGGCTTGCAACCGAAAAAAACAGCAGAATGAGAAACAACAAAATGAAAAACAGCATCAAAGAACTAAAAAACAGCATAGTACATAAAAACAGCAACATAGATTAAAAAAACAGCAGTAAAGAACAAAAAACAGCACAATGGCCATTCACTGAGGCACAAAAAAACAGCAGCAATTGCCTAAACAAAATGGCAGAACAGTAGCAAGAGTAATCATTTACTGTCAATAGTTTGGGAAATAAAATGGTACATGTCATCCCGTAAACATATCTACCTTGGCCCCAAGTGCCATAACAAAATGGTAGAACATTTTTTTAACAATACATAGTCATTCACAATCATTAATAAACATGTAAAACATATCCACTGCTGCAATACTACTAGGCCTTTGGTGATGCTTTTTTCTTTATCTTAATTTTCTTCAATAGCCTTCCTTCCTCATCTCTGCCTTGGCCACAAGTCCTGTGATTATGTCCCACTTGTTTGCATTTGTTGCAACGCTTTGTCCCATGAGGTATCCTTTTATGCTCCTTTGCAATAGCATCATCAAGTCCATCTCTTCTTCGATGCTTCTTTGGTCATCCTTTCTTTTTCATGTTCTTGGGAGGGTCCAGTTTTGGAAGTTCACCCTGCCCCCACATGCATGGATCTGGGATAGGATGTATGATTCCATCATATAAGGCCCTGTAATTACCTACTGAAAACAAAGGTGAACAATAATCTTCTAAGTTCTCATTAATTCTAAGGATACATCTTGCGGCATGCTTACAGGGAAGACCGGACACTTGCCACTTGTTACAATTACAACTATGGTCTCTCAGTCTTACTGTGAAGTTTGTGGTCCCATCTAGAACATCAAATTCTCCTCTTCCTGCTGCAACAACCTCTAAACAAACTCAGGACTCCATTGAAATCTAAGTTTTTTGTCAACATATGGTGTAACTACACTAGACCAGCTACTACCCATTCCAAATCTTTTTTCAAATCTATTCCATAGTTATCACGACGCCAAGGCGAGGCGCGGCGCCAAGGTATCGCCATGATGCCTAGACGCCTAGGCGATGATTAGGCGACAAATTATATATATATATATATATATATATATATATATATATATATATATATATATATATTTAAATGAGAGAGTTTATTAAAAAAGAAAAGGAGTACAAAGGTGAGGGTGGCCTACCCCAACAAAATGGCCCAAGCAAGAAAAGAAACATTACATAACAAAACAGACCCGCCAATCCACCACGGAACAATGAGAAAAATACAATACAACCCCTTGTCATCAAAAAAGCTAATAGAAAAATGCCTAAAATGAACTGTCCCACCTCTGTTACTTCCACATGCCAAGTGCTATTACCAGTAGGACCTTTGAATTCCCAATGTTTTCCAGGACCATTCTTCTGTTTGGTCATCTTGCGCTGATTGAGAGGACCTAACTAGAAGCCACACCCAAAAGTATTCTGCCCTGTGCTTGTAAGAGATCCCCAAGGGTTAGGCAGCAAAACTGAGCAAAGAGAAGAGACTAAAAACCCAAGGCAGTAAGAGAAAAACCCAGCGTACCCAGCCCTTCAAAAAATGATTTATAGTGCCCCTGAGCAATTCCAATTTCCAAGGATAAGGCAGGAAATCTGTTCAAGCAGGAGTATACCAAAAACCCAACTAGTTTCTATTCCCAACTAGTTTTCTAATTTCCTCTAACATTTGCAGAATTGGCTTGGCCCTATGTGCTACAATTGCCTTGTTGAAGGACTCCACAAAGTTATTGGTGTTATCTTCACACTTCAAGCTTGGATTAAATTTATGTCTGGCCCAATGTTCATGTGGCTCATTTTTCATAAGCCACTCATATGCTTCTGCATCCTCCTCTTTAATTTTGTCCATGGCTCTGTTGAAGACATATTCTGAGAAAGTGTTGGCCAGAATGTAGAAGAAAGAATGGAACCATGCTCCTATAAATGAAAATAAGAGTATGTCATTAAAACAATCTTTTATAAAAGCCTCTTTATATGAAGATAATGAATAAAGTAGTGTACCTGAAAACTTTGAGGCAAAGTTCTTATAAAAGTGCAGCACACATATCCTTCTAGAAGCCTTTGGAAGAACATTGTGTAGCCCTGTAACTATGGCCTATAAAAAACAGTTTGCATAAGTACATTTGTAAAGGTTTTTACAATAAACCATAATAACACTAACATTTACCCCCTGATATTATAGTGTATTTAGATGCGTCCTCAAGGCATCCTAGGGCATCTGCTAGTCCATTCAGGAAAAAACACCACTCTGTCTCATCCTCGCGATTTGCTACACCATATGCCAATGGAAATTGGCCATTATTCCCATCCAATGCCATAGCAGTTAAAAGTATACCTTGGTAAGGACCCATTAAATGACACGCAGACCTCCAAGTATTGAGGTAAAAGCTTGTAACCATCCTCGTGTCTTCCTTCAACCATATTCCTCATGAGCTTCAAGGCCCTCCAACAAGTGTAATTACGAATATATGTGTTAAATTTAGTCAACATTCGCTTTTGGACAGTGTCAGCATTCATTTCCCTATTACTTCTAAACTCCTTGAGCATATGGCTTGCAACCCAAGCTGCTCCGGCCCTCTTGTGATGCTCTTTTACTGCACAAAAATGTCCATCAGTAAAAGATTTGATCATCCAGGAGTGTCCACTCTCTTCCTCACTATCTTCATAATCATTTTCTTCATCATCATCTTCAATACACGCCCCTTTGAGCCATTACTGACTACCTCATCGCATCCATATTGATTAAGATCCACAATCTCTTCAAAAAATGTATCTAGGGGAGGAATGTAGGGTTCACTCAATGTGGGAATATCATATGCTTCAAGGCCTTTCAACTCCTTAGCCAAGAGTTTGGCACTCAATTGAGTTATCTCAAATTGTTGGATTCCTTCATCCACAACACTCCTCTTTTTACTCCTCTTCAACTTATTATGTCCCCTACCATCATGAACATTATCTTTGCCATTATTATCAGGTTCTGTTCTGGAAGAATATTTTTGAGTAAGAGTTAATGAAGGAAGGGGTGAGGTGAGGCTGCGTTCTGTACGGACAGGTATACTCTCAGGATCAATGAAGGAGGGTTGGGGCTGCACCTCAAAAGACCTAATTGATTCTCTTCTAACAACTAACTTAGTCCTCTTACAAGTCCTATCTTCAGAATTGGAGTGTTATTACTATTTTCAATTGGAGTTACAAGCAAATTGTCAGCCCATTCATCAAGTTCACTCATGCCAGCCCCATTACCAGTTTGGGCATTGAAATCAATACACTCAGCCATAGTTTGTAATATATTAGGGTCTTGTAATTCAACTATGTATAAGGGGATGTAAGTAGAAGGGGTATCAATCCAATGCTTAATCATCTTAACCCAATCCGAATCAAAAATTAATGGCTCTCTCTGAATTTCTTTAAAGGTGTATGAAACTGAAAACTAATGAACCTGGGAAGACTCACATACTGTTCTTTAGCTTTTGCAATGACATCCGAATACAAATCCTTTGTAAAATACATATCCAAGTCAATATTGTCTATGACAATGCATTTGTCTTTCACATATACAAAAAAACCTGTTGGAGCCTGAAACATAAAAAAGAAATTCAAAATTTCTAGAATTTCAAAGCCAATAAATACAACATCATGTCCAGTTACTACCATTACTCTGTTTCATAAAGAATTGATGAATCCAAGTGAATCTAACAAAATTCCTTCATTCAATCTATGTAAAATCGAACGAAATTACGTACAATACAAAGCCTAAATCCAATTCCCAAATTCATCCAGTTCTTGTAAAAATAAAATACACCTACCATGAAGAACAAAGACGAACCAGTCAGCCGCAAAACAACTTCACCGGAAATGTTGTGAGGCGTGAGATGGAATGAGAAAGAGCGATGTCTTTACTAGGAAAAAAATGGGGGCATTATAGACATTTCATTCACATTGACGGATGAGACGGAGTGGCCCTCATTAGTAAGTTTATATATATTTTGGGGTACCCTGTAATTAGTTTTAAAAATGTGAGATACCCGGCAGTTATTTTCTCAAAATAGGAAGTACCCAAGAGCAGTTTTTTACACTAATAATTATGGATAACCGTTTGTGAGAACGGAGGATGCGTTTGTTCACTCTATCAATCAATACTTAATATTACCAGAATGCCCTTCGCTAACATATTACTCCTATTTTCTTGCAGTGCAATTATTACATACCTTTTTAATTATTTTCAACTACTTAAATGGGGACCTTTTACTAGTCGTTTGATGCATCAAATCTGCGGGTATAACTTATTCTCATTTCTTTCACCAAACACCATTCTCATAGGAACCAACCCATATATATATATATATATATATATATATATATATATATATATATATATATATATATAAAAGCTCCTGGTCATATTAGTCACCCTAATTTCACCAAATATTTTAAGGAATTGTTTGAAACCACCAAGGAGAACAAAGTTGGAACTATTGAAGGATTCTACAATGGAGTCCCCTCTATCAGTTTTTCAATGGAAGAAGAAGAACACTTGGCCAATAAGTTGTTCTTCTCCACAGTGGGAAGATTCAAAGAAGGCATCCACCTATCTATCCTCAAGCTTTTTCTCTTAAGAATGGGTGTTTCATGGTTCAAAATTAGAAGAATATCCAAGTTAGATGTGCTGTTTACATTCAAGCGAGAAGAAGACTACATCAGATTTCTACAGAAACAATCCTGGTATGTTAATGGTCATCACTTCTATGTCTTTAAATGGACCACGAATTACAACAGTAAGGAAGACAGCCCCATAATTCCTGTTTGGATTACTCTCAACAATCTCCCCTTGCATCTCATCGATTTCCAAGCTTTGTTCTCCATTTCTTCTCTCCTGGGCAGATCTGTCAAACTTGATGACTTTACTATTAATCGTGATAGGAGAGAAACTGCTAGAATTTGTTGTTGAAATGGATATATCTGTACCTCCTCCCCCTAAAATTCACATTCGAATAGGAGGCAAGGATATCTTTGTCCAGTGTTCCTATGAGAATTACCCCTCTTACTGTAATCAGTGTAAGAGATTGGGTCATAGCCTCAGCCCAAAATGTGCTTCCCATCTCTTGATTCCCACCGGAACAGTTCCCTCCGGCAAGGGAAAAGAGGGCACCAGCAGAGAGGATATAAACAAATGGGAAGTGGTTAATAGGAAAAGGACAAAAGGAAACAGGAAGCACAGGGGCATCCAGCTACTAGCAAAAAAGTACCCACCATTTACGAGTGGAAAGTTAAAGAGAAGGTTCATCAGAGCAAAAGTACCTTTACTCCTCACCTTTTGGATCTACTTGACCACTTTGAAGATTCCCAAACACCCACAGTGGGGTCCTGGCCCAGTGGTGATACAGCCCTTCAGGAGTTGACAGTCCCTACAAGTCAAACTAATCAATTTCATGCAATGAATTTCCCCTCATTAACTGAAGCCAATGAATATGCTTTCAAAACCAAAGGACCCATTCATCAAATTAATCAAAGCAGGAGCAGACCTGATACCAAGGTCCACAACCCTGAGATTAATCCATCTAATATGCAACTCATTCCTTTCAAAGGTTCTGCTGATGACTGTCTTTATTATCATTCACCTGATCAGAGCTTGTTCAAGCTCCTTGATGCTCTGGACCCTGATAAACATTCTCTCTCTCAAGATAAGCAGTGGGAATACTACAGACACTCTGATGATGACGGTGTTGATGAGGTCATTGATTGCACTGATTTGGAACCTGTAGGTTTCAAGATTCCTCAACATGACTCCCCAAGCCTGTCAATACCCAAAGCAAGGAAAAAGAAAAAATATGAGGCATACAGGAGTATAATGACTAGAAGCCATAAAGGGCATAAAGACTTTAAACTTCTCAGTCTCAAATGATTGTGCTCTTCTGGAACACACGTGGAGTTAGGTCCTCTCTCAAAAGGATCAAAGCCCTTGTTAAACTTCACTTTGTTTATACCATTACTATCCTAGAGCCTTTGGTATCTCCAGACCAAATTAGCTCCTATGGAATGAAGATTGGATTTTCTAACAATCTGGCCTCTACTAATAATAAAATTTGGATCTTCTGGAAAGGGGACTTGCTCAATCTGACATCTTCCTTTGAAACTGACCAATTGCTACACTGTAAATTTTGGGATATTTTACAGAAGGAGGAAGTCTCAATCACTTCTATCTATGGAAAACACTCTGGCTGGGAGAGGAAATTGCTCTGGGATAATTTAACCTCCATCTCCAACTCCATCTTCTCTAAATGGATAGTTGGTGGAGATTTTAATATTATTTCCAATATTACTGAGCATTGGGGAAGTGTTTCTCCTTCGCAAACTGATATGGAAGACTTCACAGATTGTATTGATAGTTGTGGTCTCTTACACCCCCACCTCATTGGTAACAAATTCACATGGACTGGCAATCGAAGTAGAGGGCTGGTACATAGAAGATTGGATAGAGCGTTGGTTAATTCTAAGATGATGGATTACTATGATGACATTTCTATTACACACCTGAATAGTACTACCTCAGATCACAAGCCCATCCTATTACAGTGCATTAAGGAGCAATGTGAAGGCCCTAAACCATTCAGGTTTCTTAACATTTGGACAAATCATCCTAAATTCCTGCAGATTGTTGCTAATTTTTGGGCTTCTTATTCTTGCTATGGTGGCATGAATGGCTTTGCTCAAAAGCTTAAAGGGCTGAAGAATATTCTTAAAGAGTGGAATAAAAAAGAGTTTGGTAATGTTCATACTAAACTTAAAGAGGCTGAACAGATATCTACCCAAGCTCAGGAAGTTTATGAAGTTGATCCTAGCCCTATCCATAGAGAAGCTGTCAACAAAGCCAAGGCTGAGCTCATTATAGCCATTGACAATGATCTTAACTTTTGGAAACAAAAGGCCAATATTAAATGGATGGAAAATGGGGATTGCAATTCTTAATTCTATCACTCTTATGTCAAAGGTAAAAGAGCCAAATCCAGGATTAGGAGTATTGAAGATAAGGATGGACGCACTCTTAATAGTAAGGATGCCATATGCAATGCTGCAATTGAGCACTTCAGCAACATATTTTACATTCAAAACAACACAAATGTAAGTCCTGTGGTGCAGTTTATCCCCTCTAACATCATTCAATCAGACAATGAGTTCATGGCAGGCTTACCATCTGAGGAGGAAGTGAGGGAAACTGTTTGGAGTATCAATCCAGATAGTGCTCCCGGGCCAGATGGATTCAATGGTCACTTCTACAGAACCTGCTGGAGCATTATTAAAAAAGATGTGATTAATGCCTGTCAAGAGTTTTTCCTTGGAATTCCAATCTCTAAAAGCTATGGTAGCACCTTCATAAGCCTTATTCCTAAATCTGAGATGGTTAATTGCTTTGATGATTACAGGCCCATTTCATTGTCTACATTCATGAGCAAAATAAATACTAAACTACTAGCTAACAGGCTACAGAAACTTCTGCCCAAGGTTATATCAATTGAACAGACTGGTTTTCAAAAAGGAAGGGGTGTGGATGAACAAATTATGCTGACGGAAGAAATGGTTCACCACATTGACTCTAAAACCAGGGGAGGCAACATAATCATTAAATTGGATATGGCCAAAGATTTTGATAGACTGGAGTGGGGTTACCTCAGAACCATCCTACAGGCTATGGGTTTTTCAACCAATGTTATAAACCTACTTCTCTCAAATCTTGAAGCCACTCAACTCTCCATCCTAATTAATGGGAGTCCCTGCGGGTATATTAAAATGAGGAGAGGTGTTAAACAGGGAGACCCTCTCTCACCCCTTCTTTTTATCTTGGCTAGTGAAGGCTTCTCCACCTTACTGAATCACTATTTGGCTTCCTCCTACATCACCAACTTCAATACAGGAAGGGATCTATTAGTAAGCCATCTTGCCTTCGCAGACGATATCATCATTTTCTGTAATGGGGCTACCAATAACCTCCAAAATCTTATGAAGATAGTCCAGGCTTACCTTGACGCATCTGGTCAGTTGATCAACTTTAACAAGAGTAGATTCTACTGTGGAAAATTCATGAGCCAACAGGATATTCAAAAGAGGGAATCAATTCTGCAAATGAATCACAGCAGGCTACCTTTTAAATACTTGGGGGCACCAATCTGCAAAGGCAAGCTTAAAAAAGAGGATTGCAAAGATCTGATTAGCCATTTTGACAAATACATCAGTAGCTGGTTTAGCAAAACTCTCAACCCTATGGGAAGATTAGTTCTTATTAAGCACGTGCTATCCTCTATCCCTCTTCACATCCTTAGTGTTCATACATTGCCCACTTCCATTATCAGTACTCTTCACAGAAGTATGAGCAACTTCTTTTGGGGATACTCTAATGGAAAAGCAAAGTACCACTGGAAAAATTGGGAAAACCTTTGCTACCCTACTGCTGAAGGGGGCCTAGGCCTGAGGAACCTAAGAGATCTTCAAGAAGCCTATTCCATGAAAATTTGGTGGAGTTTTCACAATGGTAATAGCAAATGGGCCATTTTTATGAGAAACAAATATGGCACAACCAATTTTATGGAAAAACTTACAGACTCTCCTCTTCGCAAGAGAATTTGCAGAATTCACACTTTGGCCTCAGAAAACTTTCAGCTGGAACAAGGAATCCAGGAGCTCCAGAAATTTTCACTAAAGACGGCCTTCAATATCTGCAGGAACCACGGAACTATTCAGCTGAGCAATAAATTTAATTGGCACAAGCTTCAGATTCCAAAAATAAAACTTTTCCTTTGGAAGGTGAATAATAACGTTCTCCCTTTTCCAGAGAATCTGAATCGTTTCTCATACTCCAACCCTTCCAGGTGTTTATTTTGCGCAAATGGGGAAGAATCCATGGATCACTGCTTGCTAAACTGTCCTCGTATTCAAACCATCTGGAGAAAGATGTCTTACCTCTTAGATGGCCCGGTTCTGCGCAACAATTTCACTCTGCGGCAACACCTCCTCGAGTGGAACTTGCACTCTAATTCATCTACCCTAAGGGGTAATTTAAGGATGGCGGTTCCAGGCATCATAGCATGGACACTCTGGAAACACTACGCAGGTATTAAGTTTGGAGAAGAAACGTTCCAGATGATGCAGATTGAAGAACAGATCAGAGGCACAATCAAACTCTGGTGTTGGAAATTTCATCAAAAAGGCTGGATGATTCGAGAAACAGAGCTTGAAACCAATGGCTTTCAAGCTTTCGCCCTTCATGGAAGAATGGTGAGGATGATGGCCCCTTTGTGGCGTTTCTGAAGATTACGATGGGCTGGGAATTACAGCGCGATCAGGCCCCCTGCGCCAAGTTTCTATGTTGCTATTGTTTCTATGTTGCTATTGTTTTACTTTCGGGGCTTTGGTTTAGTACTACTGGAACGTGTACGCTAAAAGCATTTTAATAAAGTAGGTAAGGGTTACTTGGACCTTACCCCACCGTATTGGTATTGGTGGTTGCCATCAGAATATATATATATATATATATATATATATATATATATATATATATATATATATATATATAGAAAGCATTCTTAGGTCACAAAGTACATACTCCGTAGTAAAAAACACCTTAAAACAAAATGCAATAAACAGATTCATGAGTGCCAACAACCAGCAGTCTGTAAAAGTAAAAGAATAACTAGTAGGGTCCTCTCACATTCATGGGTTGAGCAGAGATGCAAAAGAAAGCATAAAATTCGAAGGGTGTGACAGATCACTTGAGAGGGATGAACCTTGAGGAGTGGGTGGCACCAATACCCGGCCTACCGTGCTTGACAGGCTTGTAAGAGATGGAGAACTCTGCCAGGTAGTGCCCAATCATCTCTGGCTTTACTTCAATCTGATTGAATGTCTTGCCATTGTAAACTCCGATTACACTGCCAATCATCTCGGGAACAATAATCATGTTCCTCAAATGAGTCTTCACTAGCTCTGGCTTCTCGCCGGCTGGGGCCTCAAGTTTCGCTTTGCGGAGCTTCTTAATCAAAGCCAAGGGCTTCCTCGTCAAACCCCTTCCGAGCCTTCTCCGAGCACAGGCGCTGAAGAGCTTGACGAGTTGATCAGTAGGCATGTCGAGGAGTGCATCGAGATCGATGCCTCTGAAACTGAACTTCTTGAACGTCCTCTTCTTCGGCTGCCCGGCCGTTATATCGTATTCTACGTCCGCCATGGTGAGAGTATAGTGAAGAAGGATTATTTTTATTGATTAAATTGTGAGGAGAGTACATGTATATATACAAAAGTCTCTATCCTAATTATGGTAGGAGAGACCATCTAGGAAACCTATACAAATATGGTAACAATAATAATACAATAATATTAAATATATTATATATATTTAACATGCTCCCGGCTACGTCGGCAGTGCTGGGGGTCGGATACCTAGGCTTTCTCTGAAGTCAAGAAATAAGAGTGAGGGCAGTCCCTTTGTGAAGATAGCAGCAAACTAAGAAGATGACGGAACATGCAGGACTTTGATCTGACCGAGCACCACCTTATCACGCACAAAGTGTATGTCAACTTCAACGTGCTTGGTGCGCTGATGCTGCACCGGATTTGATGAAAGGTAGACTGCACTAACATTATCACAAAAGACAAGTGTTGCCCGACGGAGTGGCTGCTGGAGCTCAAAGAGAAGATTTCGGATCCAGCTGGTCTCTGCAACAGCATTTGCTACAGCTCGGTATTCAGCCTCGGCGCTGGAGCGATAAGTGGTGGCCTGGCGTTTAGACGACCATGAAACAAGATTGTCGCCTAGGAAAACACAATAGCCCGATGTGGAACGCCGCGTATCAGGACAGCCTGCCCAATCAGCGTCAGAATAAGCCTGTAAATAGTCGGTGGCAGATTGTGTCAAGTAAATGCCATGAGTGGTAGTGCCACTGAGATAACGAAGAACACGCTTCATGGCTGTAAGGTGGGCGTCACATGGGGCATGGAGATGTAGGCAGAGCTGCTGGACTGCATAAGTGATGTCAGGGCGAGTGAAGGTGAGATACTGCAACGCACCAACGATGGACCGGTAAAGAGAGGGTCGGAGAGTGTTGTGCCAGCGGACGCAGACAGCTTCGCCTTTGTATCCACCGGGGTCGAGATGGGCCGACAAGAAACCATCCCTGCCCTCTCAAGGATGTCGTGTGTAAACTGAGTCTGGTGGAGGAAAAGGCTAGAAGCTGTGCGGTGAACATTGATCCCAAGGAAAAAGTGCAGATCACCCATATCGGTCATGGCGAATTCAGCCTTAAGCTGCTGAATGAGACTCTGTAGTAATGCTGGGGAGGATGCTGTGAGAACAATGTCATCGACATAAAGCAATAAGTAGGTTGTGCCCACGGGCTGAGAGAAGACAAATAAAGATGTGTCGGCCTTGCATCCTCTAAACCCAATGGTCTGTATGAAACCTGCAAATCTGTGAAACCAAGAGCGTGGTGCTTGCTTGAGACCATATAGAGCCTTCTTGAGTTTGCAGACATAGTGAGGGCGAGTGGGATCCTGGAACCCAAAAGGCTGGCTAGCATAGACGGTCTCCTGCAGCTGGCCATGAAGAAACACATTTTTGACATCAAGCTGATGAATGGGCCATCCTCGAGATAGTGCGAGACTGAGGACAACACGAACAGTGGCAGACTTGACAACGGGGCTGAAAGTCTCGTCATAGTCAACACCAAAACGTTGGTTGAAACCGCGAACCACCCAGCGGGCCTTATACCTGGATAACTCACCTGTTGGGCCAAATTTATGTCGAAAAAGCCATTTACCGGTGATAAGGTTTTGTGAGGGGGAGGGGGGTACTAATTCCCATGTGTCATTCTTTATCAAGGCATTATATTCATCACACATAGCAGCATGCCAGTTAGGATCTTTTAGTGAACTACGGTAGGTTGCGGGTAATGGGGAAATGGGAACGGAAGTGTTAAGATTAAGGATTTGTTTAGGGCAGAAGACACCGGTTTTGGAGCGGGTTTGCATAGGGTGAGTATTGGGTGCCGGGTTTGGTTGTTGGGACGTGGTGTCCGGGAGTTGGGTGGGGGGTGAAGTGGGCCGAGGGG